GTTCCAGAATAAGTAGTAGAGAATTCAATATTCTCTGCCCATCTCTGGGTCTTTCTTGAGAACTGCACTGTTTGTGTTTGTGCATGTATGACATTAACTGCTTGTAGTATTAATTGCTGAAATAATGCTTCAAGGTCAAATGCTGTACAAGATTCAGAGGCATTAGTAATTTAAAATACGTTAATTTAAATAGCTAGATGAGCTAAAACACAACTATTTTTTCTGAAGAGTTTTACATTCCTGTATTCCAAAAATCTCTTTATTTCCTCTTCGCTTCTGTGGGTTGTGTTTGCAGCTGTGGGAAAGTGCACTGAAAGTTATCTATGTGTGGGGTTTTTTTTCTGTAAGCAAGCAGAAGTGTGCTTATTCTCATGTCCTAAAGTGAAGAGTTCAAAGCTGTCTGACTGAGAGCTTGATTTCTTATTCTTCTTTCTGTCCTTTCTCAAGATTGTGGCTGCTGGGGAAAGATTCCATTGCAAAGAGAAAACAATCTGCTGAGATACCTTGAGCCATTTCTTTGATGTGGACCATCATGTGAACTAATAATCTGGCTTTACAATTTCTCTGAAATCAGTGAAATGAACAATGTCTTAAGTGAGTATGTTCTTGGAGGCTGCTGAAGAAGCACAGCTGTTTTGGTGTAGCTGCAGTGGGGTTCACTTCTGAAATGCTCTTGTTTAAGGTAGTCCAATGCAAAGGTGAAGAGAAGGAAGTGGCAGAATCAGGGTGACAAATAGGAGGTTAGGTAGATCTTTTGTGTTCTGCTTGGATGTCACTTCCATAAATCCCTGCTTGATGAGGCTAAATCTAGAGCCTTCAGCCATTCAGAATTCCGGGACCAGATGTCATACTCGTCACTGGATGATCATCCTGTCCTGTGCAGCCTCTCTTCTGTGCAAAAGGAGGAGGAATAGAACCCTCTGATCAAAGTGAAAGCTAAAAAAGTGCAATTCTTGTAGCAAGAAATTAATTCCGCCTCTGCAGTAGTAATAATCTCTGTAAAGTTTGCCCAGCAGATACCAGCAGTGAATTAATACAGAACTGGTGAAAAATAAAAGGACCTGAATATATAACTGTTTCAAATACTTCATTGCTGAATGATTGCTTGAAATAGTTCAATTTTTTTCATTACGATTAATTTTTACTGTGAAGATCCTGATTTTATCCTCTAAATCCCTGAGAGAATGTCTGTTAGACTGTCTTTATACAAATCAGAAAACATCCAAATTTAAAATTGGGCCACATTGCATGGCCTTTCACTTAAACAGTGGGGTTTAAGTTGCTTATTTTAAAGATGTTCCAGGTTTAGCATCTTTGCACCTTATTTCTCCTCATCTGATCTCTTCCTATTTACTGTCCCTACCAGCGTAAGAGCATTATGCTTGTTTACTGCCCCTTTCTGTTTTAATTTTAAATGTGACCTGACATTAAGCTGTTCCTTTATGTACTGGAGGGAAAAAATAAAATCAAAGTCATATGGTATTATCTTTCACTTTCATTGCACCATCTGGATTCCTGGAGCTGGAGCTGAAAACTGTCAGCATCTCTTGATGCAAAGCAAATAGACTTAGCTAAAAGGGAAGTTCAAGCTGGAGAATCATCCTGTCAAAAGTTTAGAGAAGTTCAACACTGGAGGAAGGAAATCATCATCTGCCAGAAGAGGCCATAGCTTTAGGTACCTAATGCTTTCCTTTAAAGATTAGTCTCATATTCCTGATTTCTGTGGAAATCAGGTTTTGGTTCTATTGAAATTTATTTTTGGTCTACTGTTTGCAGATTTGGTTCTATTGAAATTTATTTTTGGTCTACTTTCATATCTGGACTTCCCTAATTTCAGAAAACTACGAGAAGGAGTTTTTACTCCATGGTTCACCCTGTCAATAGCAAAATTGAAAGCCATATGATTTTATGGCACTCATAGTACAAGTTAATTCTAGGTCATTCTGAACTGTACAGAATGCAATGAACAATCCACATAATTATGTAGATTACATACCTCTTAAATGCCTTGAATTAAGGCATTAAATAATCAAAATTAACACTGTCATGTAACAAAGCATTTGAAATGCCTTATGATTTTGGCTTTTCTGAAGGATCATAAGCACGGAAAAAAATGGAGTTCAGTAGTAATATTTATTCTTTACCCTAAGAAAAATCCTACTTGAAACTCTAAGGACACACTGAAATGTAAGCTTGTGTCACATGGGGTTGAGTGTTCATTCCAAATAATGATCATTATATCAGTCTAGAATATTACTTGTTATTTTATGTTCTTGGCAATTAGTGTATCCCATTTAAAATATTTATTTTTCCTTTTGGCTGAGTTTCTCTACAACACTGGAACAGTTGTGTTAAAAATGATGGTCTCTTGGGCAAAATAAATTAAGTCTTGGAATTATGTCAAGACTTGTAACTGAAGATGAAGTTTCAAAACAGTCTTTGTGCAAAAAATGAAACTCACTTTCCCCCTTCAACTCATCTTTCTACCTACTGCTTCTCTGGTGTTTTTCTCTTTACATCAAACATATGCTCTCTCTCTTTCTGACTGGAAGTCTTCCAAAGTTTGGGGGGAAGTCTTACAGGAAACCCTTCCAAAACATATGTAGAACTTGTTCTTCCTGTGCAGATAAAACCCCCAGATGTTTTTAAATTCAAACTATCTGAAACTGGAAAGCTGTAATTGGTTTGGGGCACTTTTTAATTAAAACACAGAATTTTGATGGATATTTTTCATATTATGATTTGCATCAAGGATTTTGCTTCACTGTACATATTTCTTCCAACAGGTTCCAGATTTATCTTAGTTTAAATGTTTATTTGATTCTGAGGCTTCCTTATCAGATTATCAGAAGGAAATCAGTGCAGTATATGCCTTTCAGGAAGTTTTCTCTATGGTTTTGATTTGAAAACATCTGTCTTTTGAGTTACAAAATTAATCCAAAGAAAAGACCTATATATGTAAGATACAATTTAAATTCTTTCCCAGATATAGGCTTAGATTTTTCTGGTGTCCTGAAGTCTAATTGCATGCTTTATGAATCTAACTTTTTCTTGTGTGACTATTGATATACCACATAAATGGAATCTTAGAATTATGCCAATTAATAGATTAAAATTTTATAGAAATGCAATATCACAAGTTAATTGAGCAATGACTAAAATCATTAGCTATAATTAACTTCACATTTCTTTCTGGTTTTCTTCCCTCAGGGAGCATACATTGGACTCCTGGCCTTTTATTACTAACATTATTAAATTATTTGTTCTTTCATTGATTCCCTGGGAAGTCAACACACCCTGTTAAGCAGAAATTTCTTTGGGTATAGCAAGGAGCAGAGAGCAGCAAAAGCAATCAAGCCAGCAACGTACTGTCCATAATATTCCTATCATTATTTGAAGTGTGTTGCTAAGAGAAGCTGCTGAGTTACTGTCCTAGTGTGGAGTTTGGTGGTTTCATGTATTGCCTGTACAACTGCTATTATTAAATAATGATAATAATAATTTCCATAGTCTCTAGAGTAAGTTGAAATCCTGCTTTCAGGATTTCAAACAAGGAGACACACAGGGGTAGATGATCATCAGCTTTAGGACCTAACTAACACTTGCTGACTTCAAGTTTTCATCACATCTTTTACACTATTCTGCCACGTTTTGGGAAGTGCTCTGGACAAACATAGAAATGAATACTAGCAAATGAGAGGGTAGTTTTTAATCCAGAGGCATCTACAGATGCTGTCAGGGATGCTAAAGGTGTGGCTAGAATCCTGTGTGCACTCAAAAAGGGCTTTAAAAAATAACGTTAACATATCCAAAAATGCAGGCACTGGGAGAAGGACGAGTAATTCAAAGTATGTGTTTCCGTTTCTTTTCTTCTCCCTGAACAGACTTTTTACTCCCTGACTTCCACAGAAGGTAAGTACTACTGTTTCCACCCCTCCAGTAACAAAAATCAGTGGAATTAAAGGCAGTACTCCTAAGAAGGGTAAATATTAACTTTCCATCTTTTCCAGGAGCTATTAAATCTCATGCTATGAGCCTTATTAAGTTACTGTGCAAAATATTATTTTTGTTAGGCATGTAACCCATGAAATATGAAGATTTTTTGCATAAATATATTTGAGGATTACCCTGGATTCAGAAGGTCCAGTACTGCTCAGGAGGTAGGAAGCTCAATTTTTATTTTCATTGCTACTATGTGACATGCTATGTCTGAGAATATGTACTGTGAAACCAAAAGGCACATGTATAAAACATGACAAAAACCAGATTATTCAGGATTGAAATGAGATTTTACTCAATGAAGGCTAGAAATTAAAGGTTTAGAAAATAAGATTTAATAGGCAAGCAAACATTTCAATCAATGTCAAAATATTCCTCTTTGTATATACAGAGTGAGAAAATTCACACATATATATATATATATATATATAAAAGAAAAAAAATATTTCTGAAATATTTTATAAATATCTAAAATCCAAGAAGTTTAAAATCTGTACTTCCTTTTATGATATACAACAAATTAAGTTGCACATATTTCACATTTCATAAGAGAAAGTTAATTCTTAACTCCCTATGACTACATTTGTGATTTGGATTCCTGAACTGAATTCCTGGTCTGAAGAATTCAAGATGCAAATAAGTAGGCACGACAGTGAAAATAATAACAAAGTAAGTCAGATCAACTAAACTATGCTTGGAGTATGTAGATGAGAACAACCAGAATGAAAAAGAAATGGCCCCTACTACTAAAAAATAATTAAAAAAACCCTTCAGAGCAGTATGTTTATTCTACTAAATAAATACTGTTAATAGTGCTTACAGAAACAGAATAATGTGGTAACATCTTCCCACAACAGATTTTCTCATCTATCTCTTTGTTATTAGGATGAACATTGTCACTGATCTAGAAACAACACTCATCTTTTTTTCCCCTGAAATTACTCTTTTCAAAAAATTTTCTATTTAAGAAAAGCCAAAAGTAATTAGCCCGAAACAATTATTTATCTCTTTGATGATGTAAAAGGTGTTTGGCCATATTGGTGAAAATGAATTCCTTGGGATGCTGTAATCTTCATAACTTCTCCATTTAGAGTATCATCTTCAATTATTGTTATCAATCCTTCAGCAATTATTGATGGGCTGAAAAAAAAAGTTATTTCAGAGTTATGATATAATAGAACATGTAAAAAGGACAAGAAACTCAATGTAAATCTATATACCTGAAAATTAAAAAAATGGTATTTGAACAAATTTATTTTGAAGAATAGCAGAGGTGGTATGAGTGTTTCAGGAGAGATATGTATTCACTTCAATCAGGACATACATCTAAAGTGGCTACTTTACAAATCATCATTTGTTTGCTCTAGTTTCTGATAAATGCCTGTGGACATCCATCTGCCACTGGGCTTCCTATCAAACTTTTCTCTGTCAGGGAAATGGACAGAAGTAATCCTCACACAATCCTCTGCAGCTCTTTGCTGTTGATTTATCCTGCTTCTGTAGCAGAGCTGACATACAAATTAGCATAAAGGTTAATTTCACATGCAGTTTGCTGTGGTCAATAGGTGCAAAATATTTTACATAAAGAAAATTATGGGTGAAACAACACAGTCATACAATTTCCTTTGTGCAGAAGCATCTTGCAAGCTAATTGTAAGAAGCTAAGAAAGTGTAAAAAAATATGACTATGCTTGCCACGTTCTCACAGTCTGTCCAAGCTGTCTGCTTTTGGCCTTTGTTGGCAAGACTGCAATGGGCCAGGAAACTCTTTGATCTGATCCATTGTGGCTGCTGTTGTGCTCTTAATCAGTTTGGTCAGTTCATGGTCTGATTTCTATCTTGGTTCACTTGACAATTTTGTGAAAATTCTGTGCAAATTATATACCCCATATCTCACAAAAAGTTTGATTAAACATATTCATGAGGGAACACCAAAGGCTATTAAAAACTAAAAGAACGATATTAAAATTGCTAATTTGATTTGGACTTTGCTGGGAAATGGGAATGCATAAAGGGATATATCACTGTGCAGACGGTGCTCTTAAAATAGGCTTAGATCTCTGCCATTTTTTTTTCTTTCTATACAGATAACCCATTTGATAGTCTTTTATCTGAGGCAGTATTTCCATTTTGTTTAATTTTGCTGAAAGTGTGTCCTTGTTCTTCATCAACAAAGTGCAAAACCCCCATTGTATCTGACTTGACTTACTCCATCACGCCATAGAATTGCATCATGTTTTTTATCTCATCCTTGTATGAATAGTATTGTCCCATATTCTCTTCTTTATCTATTGACTGAAGAATTGGTGTGTTGACAAATCCTGGACAAATTGTGTTCAGTCTCACACCATAGTTTTCCACGTTAGCAGCTAACTAGAAAAGAGAAAGGGGTAGCAGGCATTTGTCATCAACATTTTCCGGCAATATTGTGTAAGCAAATTTTCAAAGAATGAGATTTACCACAAAGTACTTTTCAGCCGTGCTAAGTAAGGAGATTGTGTTACTACTGATTGTTTTAACAACTAAGTTTGAAGCACGTTTTCTCTAGTAATCATACTAGATTACTGGGAAAAAAATGCATTTCTTTTGTCAGGAGAATAATTCTATGAGAAATCAGAACTCTTCTCATGAAGCTGTTTTTTTTCCTAATACTTTTTGTTCTTAGTGCTCTTTAGCATGTCATTGACAATGTTCTAGGGTGATGATATAACTCTTCTAGGCAAAAACAAGAAAGGTTTTCCCAAATGTATGCTCTGGATCCTATAGGAGCTTTTTTATTAAAAAGAAACTCTGTAAGAAATAAAGTAATCTTTAAGATACTGTATTAAGATACCTTCCTCACATCAAAAGAAATACAGTATGTTCTCTATCCCTACAACTGTAATGCTAAACCTTTCTACTTGCTCTGTTGTCCCTGCCAAGGTATGAATCTATCACTGAGCATCTCCACTGGAAGGCCCCTGTGAACTGATTTTTTTCAGGAAGCAGCTCAGAACATGATGCAAGAAAGAAGCACAAGTTGTTCTGGGAGAGGTAGGACCCCTTGTTTGTGGTTCTGCCAAAGTGTGCATGTAGCAAAGTAGTCTGATCAACATCCAGGTATGAGTTGAATGAACTGAATGAGCTGGATGAGCTTTCTTAGCAGTAGCATAGAACTGATAAATTAGACATGATATATCCAAGAATAACCATAACTGTTAATCACTGTGTTCTATTTAACATTTAATGGACTTCTTTCAGGTATAATCTAAGTCACATGTCATTTTCATGGCAGGGTAGCCTGCTCTTTTGGTCTGGGGAGACAAGAAACTGAAGCGCTAGGTGTAAGGCATTAGACCTGCCCAACATCAGCCTTTCCTGGTAAATACTGTAGTTCACTATGTTTATTCTTTTTTTCCTCAGCATTCTCATGTTCCTTAAAGACAGCATTTCCTCTAATTTACTTTTGAGCTTAGATGTGACATTTATATTTCTAATGAGAAAACAAAAATGGGAAACTAGGTTTCATGTTCTTGATTTGGTAATATGATATATGCAACACTTATCCAGACTATTCTCTTTATGTTAAACTGAAAAAGGAGCTATTTATGTGGGGATGGGTGCATAAAATAGATGGATAAAGTGTAATTGATGTAATTAAATTGATAGTGTAATTTCAGGTGTTTAATTCTGGAAATAAGACTGGAAATCTTATGTGAGCAGATTATCTTTAACATTAATCTGTTAAAGTGTAATTGTATTTTCTCCCTCCAAGTTGCTTTATTACACTGCTTGTTCAATCTAACTAGAAAGTTTTGGAGTTAGAGGCTGAAACTTATAATATGGTCATCTGATATGCCCCATCCTGAATGTGTAATTTTTTATTTTCAGAGTATTGAGAGTCAGTAAGAATAACTAATGATGTGTTCAAGTAACACTTTTACACTTCAGTGCCTATTTATCATAAAAAAAGTCATTGACCTGACTTAGAAACAAGGAAACCAAAATGACTGGGACAGGGTTCTGAAAAAATATTTTTAAAACTTGGATTAGAATTTTGCTTTTGGACTCCTCTCACTGTCCTTAAATTACTCTGCAACATCTTTCTTCCATGTTCTCCAAACCTCAAGTTGGTCATAAACACACAGATGCCATACTTATTCCATCTTCGGATTCCCTTTGTGAAAGGAGGGAACCTCCACTGCTTCACACACTTTGTTTTCTTTCCTAAAATTAATTCTAGCTGTATAGCTATAGAGGAGGAACATGAAAAATGTAAGCATGTTCCCCTGGAGCTGCTCAGACCCTTTTGGGAAATGCATACTTACTGCTAAGGACCGTGTGAATCCAATGACACCGTGCTTTGTAGCACAGTACACAGGCTGGAAGGCAGCAGGCATGAGTCCTTTAAAACAAAAAGGTAGCTGAATGAAGATGTGGCATATTCCTATTTTATGATTATCTTAAACACATGTGTAGGTCTACAGTGTAAAAAACTTGTGTCAGAGATGCAACAAAATGGATTAGTAGGCATTTGTAAATTATATTCCATAATCTGGGATAGGCTAAGAAAAAAATAGATGAATAAAAAAGTGCAGGCAAAAGAAGAGTAATAAAGAATCATAACTTTTAAAAGGAAAAGTTGCATCTATGAACTGTGACTTAAAATAGAAGACATAGTCTGGAAGAAAACACTTAAGAATGAGATTTTTGAAGCATCTATGAATCAAGTATTTAAAGTATTTAAAGTATACTGAGGAGCAAAGTCTTTTAGGTGGGCTTTGATATCTAACGTATGAACAGGAGGCCTGCAGTCATTCACAGTGTGTTCAAGGAGGAAGTGTAGCAATAGGAGAAGCAAAATAAAAATTTTCTGCTAACACTGTAAACCTTTATGGTCTGAGTGGGAGAGCAAAACATTTTTATTTGTTATAGAGAAAGAAAAGCGAACAGAGGTTTTGGAAGAAAACTAAGAATTCTGGTAAGACTGAGTAGATAGCAAGAAGCTAGTCAAGAAGAAATGACAGACCGTGAGCACATATTCATTTCTGCCAATTATGCCAGCAATCTCTAATATACAGTGAAAGCTGAACTGGACCAAATAGATGCTGTGGTTCCACCTGAAAATTAGGCTCTTATGAATAGTAAACTTCAGCCTGTCTGAAGGCTAGAGGATAAAATGTTTTCCTGAATGTGGTATTGTAAAACAGGATAGTAATTTTAATGCCTTAATGTCTGATTCTAATGGAAATAATCCAAATTAATAACTCGTTTCTTTTTTCTTTCATACTTCAGATCTTAAGGTGATACTTTTTAGAAGGGGTGTGACTTACCTCAGTGGAGATGAAGAATTCACTCTCTAGCTCTTAGTATGGATTTGGCAGAAAAATTACATGTGCCAGACTTGCATGGGCTCTTAACGCTGGGATCTGTTTTGTCTGACGGAAAGAACTTTATAAGACAGCCCAAAGCTCTAATTACCAACCTGACAGCTTTAAGGTTTTATCTTGATTTAAATGCTACCTTGATGATCCTGTGAAAGCAGCACTGTTCAATACTGGGAAATGAAGAACTTAACCTATTGTCTGGTTGTTCCTTAGCTTGGACTAATGTGTTATGCTTCTGCTTAAGAACTCACTTTATGAAATGGCTTTTGTACTGTCTCCTGTGGGTTGTGATCACAACAAATGCTTAATATTCTTCTGTTTGTTGACTTTCGATGAACCATTCCTCAGATTATTGGAAACATTGGAATATTGGCACATTAGAAATAATACGATACTATGTTAAAAAAAACCCCAAAATGTCAAGTACTTTTATGTGCTTCAAATAAAGGAAATTCTAATCAGACTGCAGCAAACAGAAATAAAACAGACAAAGTCTACTGGGAAACACAGAGGAAGAATTTAGAAGTAATTTTATTTTTATTTTTTAACCACAGTAAGACAGATTACCTTTTACTTGAGAGGGAAGAGAAACAAAGTCAAGAAATAAACAAAGGAAGGGCACAGCTCACAATAATGAGGTGGAATAAGGTTCAAAGACTTTATTAAATGCCAAAGACAGCAGGAATAACTAGGCAGGAAGAGAGGAACTAGTAGCATTTTTGGGGTTTTTTTTTGAAAACCAGTTCTTTCCTAATTTAAATTAATATCTTTGCTGAAGTGGAGAACCAAGAAAAAAAAAATCTCACTTTTGGATAAAGCATCTAAGACTAGTTTTAACATTCCTCACATAAAACAATAACAGTCCTGTGTCACTTTTGTTCCTGAGTTCAGTACTCAGAACCTCAGTGAGGGCTTTCCAGCTCTGAGCCACTTCCCCACCCTAGGAAGAGCTGGGCCTCTCTTGGTGGTGTGTCCCAGGGACCCTCCTAAAGTATTTTATGATGAGCCACTGTGTCACACTGAGTCTGCTCTGCCCACATATTTATTCAGCCAGTGAGCAGAGATGAGTTCCTAACATATTAGTTAGGGCATTCATTTGTTAGAAAATCTGGATTCTATTTGTGGCTGCCATGAATATTTAATTATCTTATGCAAAGCAGAATGGCAGTGAAACAGACTAAGAGACCATTATGCACAAAATAATGGGGAGAAGAAGAGGAGGGTGTTCAAATGGATGGTGATGGGTCAGTGTACTTCTGGAAAGAGATACATTTGGGTTTTAATCTCTCTTAGATGGGGAGGAGAGCGGTGCTGCTGTGGCTAGATTTTTCTCTCTCTAGATGTTGCTGCATGGTGAATTGAAAATGACTTTGTGATGACTCAAGATGCTCTTTGGTTGACCAAAACAAGTTCAAGCAGACCAAGAATAATCCTATGCTCCAATGCTAACTGCTCTGTTCTATTTTTCTCAGCTCCTGGCAGACTGAGAGAGACAGTTCTTGCCCTTGCTTATATTCTACTTTCCTTTTAGGTGTCAAGATCACTCTACCATTGAAGATAGGGTGTCAGGTGTCTCAGTACAACTCCTTATTTGTCATGATCAAGTTTCAAAAACCACATCCTGAGAAATTAATACTGGAGGTGCAGAATTCTATCAATAAGCTTGATTTGTATCAGTAGGCTTTGCTGAAACCAGTATTTCGTTTCATTCCACTTTGATGAAATGAAAGAACTTTGATAAAAACAGAATTAAGCATCTTTTCCCTGTTATGCTCTCTCACTATGTTGCCCTCAGTTTTCCCTGTTATGCTCTCTCAACATGTTGCCCTCAGAGATTTGAGTAAATTCCTTTCTTTGAATAAGATTTATTAGCTTTTTTAGTTTTAAGCTGGACTTTGGACTTTCTGGTTTTCTCTCTGCATGCCCCCATGCTATCATTATAGTCTTCCTGAGTGCCAAAACAAAGGTGCAACAGAAATCCTAGCAAAATATTCTAAGCTATGCCATTTCTATGATTTTTTTTTGATAGTGAAGTCTGAAGTGAATAGCTTCTAATTCTTGTTAACCTCATTCTGGCAGATTCTGCTGAGCATTTTACTTTTTACAAAAGGGAGGGACCAGAAGCTCTGTCATGGTGCTGAAGGCCTCAGTTGTACAGCCATTGACATTTCTGGTGCCCTGTATCCCTGTGACAGAGTCTTTGCTTGGTGTTGTAACCATTTCTTGTAATACATATAGGATCTGGTCCTAAAAAAGCTTATTTGCTGTGAAGGGTACTTTAAGTATTTCCAGTGGCTGAAGCTTTCAATAAAGGGAAGGCAAACCACCTGTTTGAGGAATCTGAATGTTTGAAGTTGAGTGCAATCAAATTGATATGGCTGTGCAGCAGAAAGGTATCCAGATTCACTACACATTGAACAGCCTCTCACAAAAGTAGCATGATGCTACGCTAAAAAATTGTAACATTTTTAAAGCCCTCTGTAAATACTCTGACTTTCTTTTTTGTCTGCTAAAATACAGATAGATACAAATTCATTTTCACAGAAAACCTTCTTCAAAACACAAAAGCCATCAAAACAAAAGTGTGTGCCATACTTGAATTCCTTTTACCCTTTTACCTTTTGCAAAAAGGGTACAGGTACCAGCCACCACACGGTAAAAGACCATGTTAAGTTTAATAACTTAAACAGCCTCTTGAGTTAAATTTAGTTTTTTTATGCTTTCTCTGCTGCTTTTAACTATTCCATTAAATGCAATTAAAGTGTGGCTTACTAGAGAAGAAGTTTTAGAACATTTTATTACCTGAATTTGAAATTAGGTCTATTCCAATTCACTGATGCAAAAACCTTCAATCATTGAAATTGTTTTTTATGGAGCCAAATTTGAAGTAATACACATTTCTCATTATCTTAGTTTAGCAGAATTACTTCTTGATACAAATTCACAAATCTAATAAAATTAAATTTTGTAGCTTTGAGACATAGTTGAGTGCCTGCTGCATGTGATCACATATTTCTGTCCCTCTTTTAAGTCCTGTCTGGGGTCAAGACTAAAGAAAGGAAGACTCATTACTGGACAGACAGGCTCTGGCTTTGATCCAGCTGAATTAAAACTTTTAAGCATCCACTTCACAAAAATAATATTGGTAGTACCATGGGTGTTTGATTCTGTCCCTAGTCCAAATCACTGGCAAAATTCTCATGGTGATGTAATGATTAATATTAATGTGGATAATTAATGTGCAAAGGAACATTATTGAATTTCACATAAGCACTATGTACAACTCTTCTTGTTGTTCAAAAAGATATAGGAAGATTTGCTGTCTGTCTCTTACAGAGAACTTGGACAGTGGGGATCAAAACCCACTGTTTGTTTAATGATCAACAGAAGCTAGCTCTGAGAAAACCCTTGAAGGGGATGTTAAGTCAATGGAAGTTTGTCTTTCATGTATGGAGTAAACTGCAGGACTTAGACCTTCAGACTGAAAAGGAGAGTTACAATCACAAAGCACAAACAGTAATAAGTAAATAAGCAATAAAAATTAGTATATGTTAGCTTTTAAAGTGTGTTTTTCCTTGCGACCTTGGAAACAATTGTTAAACACAAGCCATGTAAAACCAAACAAAGCAGAGAAAGTGTTGTTTGTCTTAACAAAAAGAACAGCCAAGTTTTTAGGTCTTAAAACCAAAGTAATTTTGTGTTCATTTGAGACCAGTTAGAAAAGGAATCAAACCACTTGCTAGCCCTACCCTTTCTTAAGCACCGCTTTGGGCATTGATGTCTCTGTGAACATGTTTAATATTTTACTTGTGTTGATGACCTCCTGCACTGCAACAGCAGTTTCCTTCAGGTTAATTTGGACCCAATACAATGTCCATTTCAGCCTATAGAGACAAACTTACTGGTATCAGTAGGCAATGTGTCAGGCAGTGTGAAAAATGCTGACTTAAAGGTACATGGAGTCTTTTAATAAGAGCCCCTCACCCTGTGGACATACGTTCATGTGTTAAGTCAGATCCCCAAGATCCATATGCATTATGTCAGTAGGGTGAACTGGATTTTTTATCACAAAAGCTAAGGTCTACAGGAGAACTTAAACTACTCAGAACATCCACACCTCTGCACAATCAGATCACTATAGCTGGTGCTCTCTTGACTGGCTTTTCATTGGTAAAACACATAGGAATATCCTGGAATGAAATGGCTACAATTTGGTAATTCACATAGACACAAAAAAACCCCTCTGACAATCTGAGCGTCAGGCAGCATAGGTATTATTTTTCACAGGCAGTCTGACAGTAGAAAGAGAGAACAACTTCTCCAAACAAAAAAGAGAGAATGCAAGTACTACCTCACAAAATTTTTGAGGAGGGTTGTCAAGTGACTTCATTCTCCATGTACAGTTTCCCCCTCGGCTGTTCTTTTTTGCTGGGAGCCCAGTCATTGAAACATTGAGTATATCTACAGGAAATGGTGCAGAATTCTGCCTCACAACAGGACAGCATTTACAGAACCAACTGATGTAGGATCCACAGAGTTATATTTTTGTACCAATAAATTGAAATACAGTTATAGAATAGGTAAGTAGTGAGCAAAGAAAGTGCTTGTTTAAGCTTGGTGAAATATGAGTGTTAATTTTATGACTTTTCAAGTACAGGTAGATCACAGCTGAAAGGACTTGGAACACAGAGTGGGTGTGTGAAAACTTTAATAAACTAGGTACAGTCTAGCCTTAGAGGTTCCTACATTTGTGTTCCTCTGGAGTTGAATGGAGGAATTTACATCAGGCTCAAGGTTTTAAATGCACGACTGATAGTTTAGGAAAATTACTGATTTGTTTTCTATTGAATTGGGTTTAAAAAAGCAAATGGAATTTGTGGTTGTTTGATATTCCTGCTATTGCTACAATGAAAACCAGTTCAAAATATTTCTAAACAGAAAAGGGCCATAAAAATAAGAAAAAGTAAGACTGATCAGTATGATTCATTTACTTTAGAAGAAAACAGCAGAAATTGTTTATGCAGAAAATTTTCTCACCTGCCAAGGATGACATATTAATGATCACTCCTCCATCACCTCCATTTCCTTTCTTCATGTATTCTATGCCAAGGTAGGTTCCTCTGATCACAGATGTCTGGTATAAAGATGAAGGAATTATTGAAGATACTCAAAGATTATTTGAAACGATTCAAAATAATTTACTGAATTATTGATGTTATTCAAAATATCTATTTTGCTTCTACAAAATATCTATTGTGCTTCTACAAACTGGAACTTGCTTTTATTGTGGTGCTTAGAACCTGTATTGCTTTACCAGTGATCTTACTTACACTTTGAAGTTTTTAAAGTATAAATAAGAAACACAGAGACACTCCACAGTATTGCAACTCAATAACTTCAGAAGCACAATTGCAATAGATAGAAGTAATAGCAGTTTACTTATTTCTCTCAATAAGATATAAATAAACAAACTAAAATATTGAAATGTCAAATAAGAGCTGTGAAGGAAACGAAACAAAGAGTAAGTAAATAATTTAACAAAGAAACACATACCTAATCTAAAAATATAAGTGGCAGATGAACTGATCTAAATCCCATTGTTTTTGTTGAGATAGCCTGTTCTATATTATAAAAAAATGCACTGACTGTATCTGAAGATAACATTAACACTCTAAACTACATTAGGCTCAAGTCAAAAGAAATTCACTTTTTAGGATAAAGTACCATGATATAGTTCTGGTCCCAAGATATTAAAAATGTGTATTGTTTTCTGACTAAAGTTAAAGGAGTTTTACCATTCCTCTCAAATGAAAGCCCACAAAGGCAAATACAGAGAAGGTAAAAAGGGTATGCCAAGAGATGTGAGATGTTGTTAGCATAATCTTAGCTGTGATTTTTACAAACATTTATTTTTTTTTAAAAACAGAACTTCAAGGAAAAAAATTTCTGAGACCTGAATGTATCATTTTGATTCCTTAAAATCTGTTTTTTAACCCTACTGCAGTCAGAAATTCTGCTGAGATTCCTCTTACTGAGCTTCAGACTTTTAAACTGAGATGTCCAAAGACACACCAAGCCTTGGGTTACCAGCCTGCTGGGGAAATCATGAGAGGGTTTCTCCCAGAAAGTCACTTTAGCTGAGAGTGAAATGAATAGTAAGAAAAAGGCAGCAGACATGGTTCCTGGTGGAAAACAATAACTTTAGAGAAATGTAAATTTCTCTAAATTTACTGCATTAGTGATGAGTTCCACAACTATTTCCCAAATTTCTCCTTAAAATGGACAAATACATTGAGACACACTTTTAGTCTTTTGGAAATATTATTTCAGCTTTTAAATGAGAACTTCATTTGTAATTTATGATTGTTTAGTGCTATTTATTGACCCAAATAAATTAAGATGTCCAAAAGGTGAAGTGTGCATGATTATTTCAATATTTTTGACCAGAGAAGGTCTGCAGAATAATGGAGACAGAAATTTCCCTTAAGAAAACCAAAGTAAAGAATCTGTATTGGCTAAAACCTAATAGATAGTGACTGGAAAAACTGGGGGGAAGAAAGAGAAAAGCTTTTACAATCAGAATGTTAACTATTTTTCTGTCACTATCTAAATTCCCAAAGAAAAATTGGAATAATCTGGAGATTATATTTCGTTTTCATTAGCAGATATTTTTAGACACGAATGTTACAAAATATAAAGTAGTACTTCTAATTCATTTTCAGTTATCCTTCATGCTTTTCTGGTTTTAATAGGAATCAGATTTGGAAGAGTGCATGTCCTACTTTATTAATATCACTGGTTTATTTTTTAATTAACATGAGGCTGCCCATTGACAGAGTTACAACAACTTGAGACCTCATTACCAAGTTTGCTTTGGAATCTTGATAATTAATCATTTTTTCTCATTTTCTATAGTTTCAGCGCTTAATGAGATATTTTTCTACAATATATTTTCAGAACATCTATTTCCTGGAATAGTGTAAAACTTCACAAAATATGAATATTTCAAAATTCTGAAATAATATTTTAAATTTTTCTTAAAGAAAAAATGCCTTTTTTTTATTCCTGGAAAGTCTTGTTTAAGCGATTATTTTTTAAGAATTATTTTGATTAATTGAAAAAGGATACTGTTGATTAAATTCTTTAACAGAAACTTTCCAAAGAATTGTCTTCAATACCTTGTTGCATAGCAGATTAAATCAGATTTCTTTTTCATGTCCTGGAAAGTAGGAGAGTCCTTATAAAGGTTGACCTAGTGCTGTTTAATTGTCACATATAAATTTGATTTATTTAAACCAAGATTGTTAATGTACAGTAGTGTTGCTATACGATATACCTATTCTGAACATAAACTTATTGGCACCTCAACCAAAATTAGATTTGGACTTAAGAGTGGAGTGTGTTTTTTCTAATATATATATATATAAATGTATGAGAGGCTGTACAGAAGATATTTGAGGAAGAAAGGGGTTAATGTTAATGATGTCTTTGGAGAGCAGGTGCAGGTCCTGTCATGCCCTGGAGCAGTGGCTCAGCCTGCTGAGCAGAAAAGGAGAATTCCACTTAGGATGATTAGAGAAAATAAATCAGTTGAAGAATGAAGTCGCTTGGGGCTCCTTGAAGGCTTTTCAATTCCTTCTAATTCAGAGATAATAGAGCTAGATGAGTCCTTGGCCAAACCACAATTATAAACCAAGAGAAAAGTGGGTAGCTCGGCTATCCACAGCTTGGCTATACTGTATTTTTCTTTCTCTCCCTCTGGAATCCATTAAGTTAGTACTTCTTCACGAGGCTGGAGGCATGTTCTCCTTTACACAAAGGCATTGTGAGAGGTGGTCTTCAAGTGAAATGCAGACTTCCACCTAGATATTGCCCCTTTCACCAGCTATAGCCTTGTAATCCTTACCTGTGATCCTTGCAAAAACCTCACTGAGTGTGGCTGACCTTGGGTCAAATGACTATTTATGATGTTTGGGCTGATAAAATACAGAATTATTTTGCAGGTAAACTCTGAAGCACATACCCTGCCTGCACTCTCAGCAGATGGCACTTTTCTTCTATTGTGTGCTGGATTTCCCATTCTCTTGAAAGAATCCACCTCTCTCCAATCCTCTCAAAATGTATGTTTTCTGAATGCAGTTTTATGGTTTCAGGTTATGATGAAAATATCTGTCATTTCCTTTCAATTAAATGAAAGAAACTAAAAGCATTTTCAGACTGCAGTTCCCCAATCATATGTTTAAGCCTAGTAATTCAATCAATGGTTCTTAACCAATAATAATTTATAGATTATCTATTAAATAAAAATTCTGGGAAAGTTAAATTTAAAATTACCTAATAAAAAAACTGTCTGACCCAGCTTAAAATGAAAATATGCTGGGAGACTTTGTACAGGAAGGCATTTTAGAGCTATTTTTTTTTATGATTCCTTTGTTTATAACTGCATTTAACTCAAGGGATATTTTTCATAAATATGTCAAGAACAAAGAGTATCAAAGTAGTCAGCTTTGTAACTAAATGTAGGTAAATCAAAAATTGATACAGCTGACTCTTAATTATTTTTCTTTTTTTTTTTTTTTTTTTTTTTAAATCCTGGCTATGGAAAACTAGTATCCTTGAAGTCAGAACATAATCTAAATTACTGTTCTTCTAGATGTTGAAAAGCATGATATCTCAGCAACACTGCTGTTGATTTATCATGAGGACAGGCCATTAAGGTGCACTGGAGGTCTGAGCATGCTCTCAAGGGAGGCAATTTTACTCTTCAACTGCCAGCAGAAAATTTAGTATTCTTTTAAATAAAGTTAAAGTGGTGAGTGTGGGAATATGTTATAGCATTATGTTACATAAATTACAGATTTAAATTAGAGGAGATCAGACGTGCTGAAGTATCATACAGTAATAAACCCAATATGGTATCTGACATCATGGTAAACATTGCAAAATAATTGTGCAAATACTCAAAATATTTGCAGTTGCTTTTGAGAATAAGGTGTCTGTAATCAGTAACTTATTTAATGATTTCTTAAATAGCAATTTAGTTGCCAGTGTCAAAATCAGAACTAAAACTTACAAAATCTTTGATTCTTCAAATTTCTATGTGTCCTTTGGCTGTATAGATTTTATTCTATCATTCTAAAAAAATAATCATATATTGAAATTCTGATTCTAATTAGGCTCAGCGTCTTCAGTAGAGTGCTAAATAATTTTTTCCACCTTTAGGAACCAGTGTCAGCCAATGTGTACAATGTTTTTGTATTCCAACATTATATCTGTCAGTTTTTATACTTTGTGTTTCATTTTAGATTTATCTGTTAAAAAAAAAGATGGTTTTTTTTGGTGATGGTGCCCAGGACATCATTAATCATCATCATTTTCAAGTGACAATTGCTTTGAAAGTAACTGAGTACACAGTGCTTTTTTTCCTAGTGTTTCAGGGCAGCTGTTCCAACTGACATAGTTTCTCACACCTATTTAATAATGTTTTGCTTGCCACCACTTGTCAGATACATCTGGTGCTTCATGCTGAGAAAATACATCAGCATCTTCCGTGCTGAAGATGAGCACTATATTAATATCAAGATGATATGGTAATATGAATTCCTTTGAGAAAACAAAATAGTAATCAGTCATAACATTTTATGTAGGCTCCTGAACTAAGATATTTCAGTGCTTGGGGTACTGAATAAAAATGAAAGAGCCACTAACTTGTGGTTTCATAACGCAGGTTAGCACAGAGCTGGAATTTGACCCAAGATCATTTGCCTTTCATAGAGTGAGGTTGTAAATCAATGACTATCTATAAGGAAACATTTAAAATTACTTTGTGAACTGTGTAAGATGAGCTTCAAAATTCTGAAACTAAAAGTGCTGCTTGTGATACTCATGGAAAATTTTAGCATTTGATGTTGGAAAGGAAGGTGGCACTAATTTTTTTCAGTAGATTTTCTAGGATATGGACAAGTTGGAGCAAGCATGCAAGTTCCATGGCATTCCTATGTATATGTTAGTTTGATTGCTATATGAAATTAAGCTCTTGAGAATGAATTTCCAACTCAAACTGTGGAAAACAAGAAGTCTAGAGAGGAAGAGGCAGAAAGGAAAAAGGAATACATAGCAGGATTAGATTATTTG